TTCTCCTAATCATTGGTAAAAACCAAGGTTTCCTATGATTTCCAGGTTTCAACAGTAGAAACAACAAAGAAACGAAAACAACCAGGAACTGAAAGTGCTCCACGCTGCTTGTAGTCATAGTGCAGCAAAGTGATTTGAAGCAGAGGAAGAGACAAACGGTAGATACATGGGGGGGGGGTACCATGTATTTATATATGCATATGTATGTACAAGTATAAGGAACATGCAACTGTAGGTTGGGATGTATATGTGAATGTGCTCGCGTGAAGGTGTATGTGAGTATGTGTCTATGCATGTATGTATGTATGTACGTATGTGTGTATGCACGTATGTATGCATGTCTGCATGCGTATGTGGGTGTCTTTTCAAGCAGGCATGTATGTATGCTTGCGTGTATGTATGTATGTATGTATGTATGTATCTACATATGTACATATGCATGTACGTATGTGTGTGCATACATGTGTTGCATGCATGAATTCATGTATGTATGTATGTATGTATGTATGTATGTATGTATGTACGTAATTATGTGGCATGTCATCGAAGTGGAGATGTGTAAGACCCGAAGTCTGCGGTGCTGGTATGAAAACAAACACTCAACGTCAGTACAGTACTGGATCGAATGTGCCGAATGTCCCTGCTATACGCCTTCAACCCTAGATTTACAACTAGCAAGAGACCATCCGGTGATACTGTCACATGGACGATCTGCAGCCTGCAACCGTCTTGACCACGAGAACCAAAGTCTGGTATGACGACCTGCTTGACACCGTAGTTCTCTGCGCTGTCAATCGACGTTATGCAGCTACCGCTAGCCCTGCTTCCCACGCTTCCTATCGCCCCGGGCAAACCCTTCGCCCCCTGTTCAGCAAGACAAGTCGCCGGCTGCACTATCTCGCCGTCCTCTACAGACGGCACGGACGATCTCAACATTCTGAATGCCAAGGCTTGCTCTTCATAAGAGACTGAGAAATATCATTTATCCGGCGCAGACTGACTACGGCCAAATTCCTGCACCTCAGTGGAGCATGGAAATCGAGGTGCAAGAACAACTTTTCGGTGTCTGACTTGCTCCAACAGGTTCTTTCTAAACCCAGTCCTCCGTGCAGAGGTTATCCCAAGAGGATGTCGCATGGCTGGCCTCACTCTTGTCTTTGATGGCGCGTTTGGCACGCTCTTTGACGACCATTTCCTTGGGAAGAGTCGCCCAGGCATGGCCGAACTCAGGTTTCGGTGGCCCTTCGGACGCTTTTGTGCCGGAGCAGCCCATAAGGAGCTGATGGTCTCCGACCTAGCCTAGCTACCATATCGTGATTATGAGTCACTTCGAGCCAAATCATGCCAGAAGAGAAGCACATTGAGGCTCACTGAGGCTAGTTTTTGTCAGGGACTTGTGGATTAGGGTCTAGGGGTTTAGGGGTTTAGGGTTTAGGGACTTGTGGATTTGCAGAGACGATTCGAGGAAAGAGCAGAGCCTTGGAGGTTTCAAGACCAAAGCCTCCACAGGAAACCCAAAAGCCCTCAAGCTCCAAACCTGAACAGGCACAGCCCTAGACAAGGGAAGCAGACTCTGAGGGACCCGGAGTCCACCTACCCCAAAACCACAGGGAAGACCTCTTCACCATTCGGAGATTCGGAATCTTGTGGCCTATCAAATTATTATGGCCTATTGCTGTGCTCGTACTGATCATCTGCTTACATATGTAGTCACAGCTTTGCTGCTTGCACGTCTCTTGAGTGGGGAGAGAGCGAAAGCAAGATGTGCTTGTCGGGGGCCGCGCTCGAACATCTTGAACAAGCACGGAACCATCTGGCACAGGAATGTCTACAAGCTGTTGGCTGTGATGAGGGTGCAAAGATGTGTCACAACAGCCACAGACCATGTGCAATTCATGCGTGAAGACCGTCGCCTATAGCATGGTTGGCGCAGAATGGCCTTTTAGTTTCTACGAGCTGAACATGAAAAGAACCAATGCTCCGCCTGCAAGCCTTTGGCCTGACGGAGCGATAGTTCCGTATAATACCTTATATAAGGTTTAGGGTTATAGTTCCTTATAATTCCCTATATAGGGTTTAGGATTTAGGGTTATAGTTCCTTATAATACCTTATATAGGGTTTAGGGCTTAGGGTTATACCCGTAAAATCCAGCCTAAACCCTCATTTCCCATCCCCAAGCCCCTAGATGGGACACCTTGGCCTCAGGAAGGCTCGTGATCAAATTTAGGGTTTAGGGCTTTAGGGCTTTAGGGTTTAGGGGTTTTAGGGTTTAGGGTTTTAGGGTTTTAGGGTTTAGGGTTTTAGGGTTTAGGGTTTAGGGGACCCAGGACTGAAGCTCCGTGGATCGGCACTAAGCACCGGAAAAAAACCCTCAGACCTACATCCGGAGCTCCATACCGAAACCTACAAAACCCACTCCTAGCACAAGCCCCTCCTGAACTCTACTAATGCAGGGGCCTCAATAATTCGAGCAGGGCTTGGGGGTGGATGATACCATAATTATAGTAAGGAGCCCCCAAAATGGTATAGGTAGTTATTTAGGCCACTACCCTAAACCCTAAACCCTACATTATGCACAACCCTGAGAACGGAGGCTGCTCCTGGCCTGCGCTCCTGGCTCGGGCTTGTCGGTCGCATCTGAGGAGCTGCAGAGCTCTCTGGTTTCGAGTAGTTCGGGTTATGGTTGCAGGGCATATACACACAAATCGGCACTTTCAAGCACACACCACATACTCGGCTGAATGGTTATACTATTCGATTTAATTTAATTTCAAATCAAAGCCTAACCTTTTCCACCATGCCCGGTTTTACACACTCCGGCCTACTGTCGGGAGTTTGCTTGAACCTCATGAACCCCATCTTCCCAATGTGCCTTAAGGTCATTAGTAGCTAGGGTTAAGGTAGAGTTTGGGGAAGGTTTCGTGGTTCGGGAGCTCAGAAAGGGCAACGCAATGTGGAACCGTCAAGGCGCCTCCATCCCGCAAACGTCGAGGTATCCAGATCAACTCGCCTGCGCTTTTGGAATCTTATGCCGCGCTACTGATACGGTGCTTTATAAGGGTTCTCTTCAGGGGCTCCTTCGAGGGTTGCCGAAGGGCTACTATGGTATTCGCAGGGGTTCAAACACAGATTGTGCATGCTCGACGGAGCAGTGTTGGACTAGGGAAGCCTGTAAGACTCTCCAAGCGCCTCGAACCCTCCCACACGAATCTACTCAAGACATCAAGCACAAGCGGGAGAATCATCGGGTCGAAGTGGCATGGCAAAAGCGCAAGAGGTCAACCTGCACATTCAAATTCAGAGAGATGTGACAAGAAGCCATTCCAACAAGCCAAGCAGAGGAAACCCCAGGCGCCGTTTCCGTGTTATTAGGGAATCCTCTACTTCACCTTGAAATCGGGCAGTCGAGCTGGGCAGAGGCCTGGAAAGCTGTGGATGCTGTACGTCCTTGGCAGCATCTTGGTACATTGGCTGGCTATACAAGCAGATCATGGTCTCGTCAGTGCACTCGAAATCAGGATTCTCTTGCCATGCATAGAAAGACATATATATATATATATGTATGTATAGACAGATGGATGGATTCTCTTAATGATTCGAACAGGGTTCCGCGGCATGTTGTGCGAATAGTCCTGTTGATTACGGGGTGTTAAGGAATACGTTCCTAATCCCTAAACCCTAAACCATAAACCTTAGACTAGACTTGAGTCCGCCTCCGGACCCTCCGACGAGCAAAAGGGTCGAAGAGACCGCTGCATTGACTAGGAGAGACGGCTCAAACCTTACGTTGGGCTTGGTGTCTAGGGCCTAGGGCTGGGGTTGAGGGTTGAGGGCTTGGGGTATACTGTAGGGGTCAGTGTTGAGGGCTTCGGGTCCAGGGTTACATGATTTGGGTTTAACTGGGGAAGGAATTCGCAGCTTGTTCACTCCTTACAGCAAGAACCCGTAGCAAAGATCTGGGCCGCATGCGGGGAAGGACTCGGAAACAGGAAGAAGTCCAGAATCCTCGGTCAATCCGACGACAGGGATTCGCCGAAAATGGAAGGAGCGGAGAAGCGCCCGAGCGTCCCAAAGGGATTTTCCATGACTCTTCAAGGTCCCACGGAAACCAAGCAATTCCTCAAGCCCGTGACGCTTCTCCGTCAGACTTGGCTCAAACTGCCCGATATCTAGTCAAAACTAGTAGGATCTGTTCGATAAGGACCGACCCCAAACTAAGGCACCCCGAATTTTTCGCGACTAGACCGTTGCAGAGTAGCGTCGGTAGCCGCTTCGGAGTTTCTGCTTGAGACTACTGCCGCTGGTTGAAAAAAACCGGGGAGGGCATTTTCGGTTTAGATTTTATTTTGGTTCAACCTAAACCGTAAACCCAAGCCCAAAGCCCTAAACAGGCAGCCCGGCTTGTGTGGCACCGGCGCAGGCGAGGGCATCCGCCAAAGCAGGCGCTGCGTGCATGAGCCCTCCCCGCGCCTGCTTAACCTAAACGGGTACTCTTAGCGTTCTGCAGGGGTACTGTAAGGGTATTACAAGCGCTCTAGACAGGTTTGATCCTGAACCAGGAGAGGGGCGGGTTTGTCCCGCAGAGTTCGGGTTGCAAGGGTGTAGATCACAATGGCAGAGTGGACAAGTGGCTTCTACAGATCTAGAGTGGTAAAACATGCCTGGTGGATTCTTGAGCTACGAGAAGTATGGGAGTTTCAGAGACAAGGGGACCCCAATTCTATAAACAAAATCCTGACGGTCCGGGCCCCTACATAAGGTACCCCTATCTTGTCGCGGGGAAGGCGGACGGAGTCACTACGTCACAACCGTGGCTGCCCAGCCAAGTATAGTGGCTTCCAGAACTATAGACTAGGGTTTGTATAGGGGTTCATATGGGTTCTATAGGGCTGATACGATCATCATACCTCTATGTTGTACGCGCGGCTTTCGGAGTTGCTAACCTTGCTTGTCCGCAAGCTTGAACATGGGTCATGCGCGTGGCGGACATAAAACGAGGCAGAAGCATTCAGAAAGGATTTGTGGAGGGATTTGCAAAGGTTCAGGTCAATCTACTAGCACTACGACCTGGGAACCTAACACACGAACATCCCTTGCTTTACACTGCATATGAGATTTGCTATAAAGATAGAACACACTGCATGCAAGAGTATCAGACTGGTACCTAACCCACAAATTTCATACGGGGTAGGCTGTGGCTCATGAACGTAGTATTGTGAAGACCACGTAAGCGCCTTTGTACAAGGGCATTGCGCGTGCGACAAGACACTTTGCAGCTAGCAGCAAGCTATGCATCCATGCATCTACGCATCGATCCATCTATCCACCTATATGTTTATCTATCTACCTATCTACCCATCTATCTATCTATCTATCTATCTATCTATCCGTTTGCATGAACTTTCCATGCAGAAACATATATGTACATGCATACGTTGATACATGCATGCATCCATACATGCATACATACATACATATATACATACATACATACATACATACATACATACATACACACATACGTGCATACATACATACATACATACATCCATCCATACATACATATACATACATACATACATACATACATACATACATACATACATACATACATACATACACACACATAAACACGCACATGCACACACACACATAAACACGCGGACACACACACACACATATATATATATATATATGTATGTATATACTTACATACTTACACACATATACATATATATATATATATATATGAACATACACGATAATAACACATTGTATCATTCAAACATGCATTCATACACTCATACATTCATACATATATACATACATATGTACAGAAGGGAGACAAACATAGCAGCAGCCAGCAGCCCGCGGTCACGTGTAACATATTGAAGCATTGAACCGAACAGCAGTAATGATGAATGTCGTCGTACTCTCCTCTGTCAGACGTGATCACATCGCATGTGGTGATGTTCATGCTTTTCAGATGCCATCTGTGCGCTAGAACACCTTCTACTCCCAGCAGACGTCCGTATCTTGCACAAACAGGACATGTGATCAGCCTTTCGCGTGCAGTCCTGTAGCAGTGCAGGGCAAAATTGGATACTATTATGACCCAATACCTCGTGGCAGCGCATGCTAGGAAACTGGCTTGCGCGCCCTCGCTCCAATCAGCTACCACTGAAACCTGAAACTACTAAATCCTACAAACCTTTCTCCTAAACCCTAAACTCCTAACTTATTCATGGGAATTGAGCTAGAGCAGGGCCCCT